TTGGGTAATGATTTTTTGTAGGAATAAACAACATTCATCTAGCAGATAATGTCAACTTAAATGGGAATTGTCATGTATTTTTGTTAATGATCAGAACCATTGCCATATTTTTTACCATGATTATTGAATTTTGCTATGACAAAATAAAAGATGATCTTAAGAAGTTTTATAATTCCAACTACCAAATTCTTCACAAATATAAACGCCGACTTTCCACATTATCATCATTTTATTTCATATAAGTAACCAAATAAATACAAACGATCATTATAATTGATATCTACTAGTTTCAATGCTTGTAGTATCCTCAACCCGTAATTCTTTGTATAATTTAAACCAGTTGGTAGCACATTTTGTAACATCAGGATTATTGGTTGGAGAACCAGCATGCTCGCCCACATATAACTCTTACTTCCCGTCAACGACTTTTTCAAGAGCGTGATTTATCAAAAGTTCTTTCGATATTTTGAAGCATGAACTGGGACCTCCGGACTAAAAAATTCAATAAGATCAATTCAATGTAATATTAAAAAATTTCTATTGAATTCAACACTTATATCCTCCAATCTAAATTTACAAAATATTGTAATACCTTCGAAAGAAGCAATGTGCAAATTCTGCTCAACATTGGTGAACTGATACCTGGTAATGGTTTTAGAAAGGATTAGACCCTATAAAACAAGATGAAAAGTCGATCACTAGTTGAACCAAGCAATGGATAAATGATATGAATTAAACGACTGTCTTTCTGAATGCGTAATGCTTACAGTGGTGACATACTCTATTGAGATTTTTTTTAAATTTAATGGCTTCGTTGCTATCGTTACTTTGACAGTATTAAGCTCATCAGTTACTCGAAGCCATTCATGCATTATTTTTTTGGGGACCATCACTTGCAACAGTCTCCTATATATCGTCTGGTTTTGTCAGCTTCTCCAGCTAAAAAGGAGCTTTCAATTAGTTGGACTAATAATTAAATAAGATAAGTATTTTCAATTTTATATATCATAAAAATATATTATACTTACATTGTGTGTGAGCCATAGGAATGGGGCAGTTCAGTTTGGTTCAGTTTAGCGAAACCAGTTTATTACACAAACTTTTTATAGATTACACATGCATCATCCTTGGTATAGTCAATATGACATTTCTATAATTTGATAGATAGTACTGGAACAAACAATGTATCCATAATAGTTTCTACATTTCTTTAAATGAGTTTGAAAAAAATAAATCATTTTTATTCAAAAATAAATTGCTTGGAAAAGAGGCGAATTGAATGTATCATTCATTTTATAATAGTGGGTCATTGTTAACAATGTCACTTCCATATCGCTTGATCATTTTCATAGTGATAGCAATGGTTATTTTTAATTGTGTTGCTTCCATATGTCTCAATTCGAAAAAAAAAAAAACAAATCATTTTAAATTATTTGTATAATAATAATAATGGTGTGTCGCTTTAAAATGATAATCAATCTGAAAAAAACCAAAACAAGTTGTTTGGAGAAGAGGCGAACTGAGTGCAAGATCAATAGTTAATTTTAATTGTGTTGTTTCCATATATCTAAACTCGAAAAAAACAAATCATTTTAAATTGTTTGTATAATAATAATGGTGTGTTGCTTTAAAATGATAATCAATTTGAAAAAAACAAAACAAACAAGTTGTTTGGAGAAGAATGCGTATTGATCTATTATGTAATATTAAATAATGTTAATGTTTAAAATCAAATTCAAAAAGTTCAGGAGTGTTTTTTTTAAAAAAAAAAATTTTTAAATAATTTTTACATAAAATGTCAAAAAAAAATTACAAATATATAAAAGAATTTTTGTTTTCCAAAATCGATCAACGATGTTTACATTATATTTAATTAATTGATTAAAAAGTTATTAATTAATTTTAGATGATTAATTTATGATTATGAAAGAAAATGAATTATCATTGATGGTATGATAATGGTGGTAATATTAGTAATAGTGTCAGTGGCAATAATAATAATAATAATCTAATAACTAGTTTACAAAAAGTAATCTGGTGTTCTACGGGTTATATGTGGTTCTCCTTTTCTTGGTGCAGGATCAAATTGTAAGCTAAAAATTGAGGAAAAGAATTTATAAATTTATTTTATTTTTCCAAAGGTGATAATAATAATAATAATAATAATAATAATAATAAACTTACAATGTATATTTCAAATGTTCATCTATTTCCATGATTGCAGCTTGATTACCACAACGATAACAATAATTTGGAGCACTAAAAATTGTGACCACATTTTTATCCTGTGACCAATTGTATCCCTAATATATTTAAATTTGTTTGATAATAATAATGATTAATAATTATATAGAAGTATGATAGCACATATGATTTAATATTAATAATAGTAACTAACCTCCATGACCAATTGATGAGCTCTAGCAATTAATGTTAAACCATTGTTATGATTAAATGCTTCTGATATATCTTGTCCAAAAGTATAACCAGCACCTCTGGGAGAAATTCCCCAACCGCAACGATCATCTGGATCAGACCATAATAAATCACACATTGGACCTTCATGAGGAACTTCTTGAATTCTATCCAAAGATCTGATGTGATCCAAAGTATCAATAGATGGAGATAAACCACCATGAAGACAAAAGATCTATCATAATTAATAATAATAATAACAATTGATTATTATAAGTTATTAATTATTATAGGTTATTAAATATTATATTTATAATTTATAAATCATTAATAAATATTCACTACAAACCTGTTCATCGATCAGTGCAGTCAAAGGCAAATAATCAAATAGATCGGTAAAGAACTTCCATACATTAGCATTACCATATTTTCTTAAACATTCATCATAGAAACCATATACTTGAGTGATTTGTCTCGATTCATGGTTTCCTCGTAAAATAGTGACACGATCCCGGTATCTGACTTTTAGAGCAACAAGTAGAGTGACAGTCTCAACAGAATAATAGCCACGGTCTACATAATCACCCATAAAGAGATAATTGGTATCCGGCGAATTTCCACCAATACGGAATAACTCCATTAGATCATGAAACTGTCCATGGATATCGCCACAAACAGTTACTGGACATCTGACTGGTTGAACATTCGATTCTTCCATAAGGATTTCCCGGGCCTATATATGTATATACGTATCAGTAAATTGTAAAATAAATCATTATTGTCATTGTTTTGTCGTTGTTGTTTGTTGTTGTTGTTGTTGTTAATAATATTATTATTATAACAATAATATTATTACCAGTAGTAATATGATTTAAAATATAATATTTAAAAGCTTTAGCATAATATTGCATTTATTTTATCATGTAATTATTATTTCCAGTTTATTTTCTTATTAACAAAAAACAACACAACATGTCTTATTAAATAACATTAATTAAATAAATAGACTCCAGCCAGACTCCTCATTAAACTGGTGACAATAAAAAATTTTTTCGTTAATAAATACCTTATCACATAGTCTTTTTACATCAGCTTCTTGTAATTGTTTACATTGCATCAGATGTTGAATCCAGCCATCAACATCTGCGAAATCAGTAATCGTTGCCATTTATTATTGTTGTTTGGTCGTAAATAGAACTTTTAAAAAAGACGTTAAATTTAAAAAAATTTTTTTTTTAAAAAAAAGATTTTATCTAATTCAACTATTTATATAAACGTTAAATATAAATATGGATAAGTGGAGCTTTCTTAAAAAAAAAAAAAAAAAAAAAGGATTAATGTGTGACTACGATATTTTGTCACCCGAAAAATGAATGAGTTTGTCCATTTTTAGCTGTTTTATTCGATGATCTCCGACCAAATTGATCGGAAAAAAATACATCAAGTTTACCAAGAAAACTTTAAGGAATTCTCGTATGAATAAATTGCAAATATGGATAATCAATCCCCTTTATTAAGATTATAATTTGGACATTCTTCTTTGTTTATTTATTATATATATTTATATGTTATTAAAAATCATGGTTGAAAAGAATTTATTCTTGAACAAAAATGTTATTATAAAGCAGTTATACTAGTACTCAATTTCATTATATAAAAGGAATTCTTTTTTTAAAATATGAATTGATTCGGATTCGAAATTACCATTCACTCACTCACTACCTATTAAAAATAATATTAATAGATAAGATAATTAATATATTATTTTTAAAAAAAACATATCAATCAATTAATTTATGTATCAGACAATTATTTAAATTTTTATCGTCAATTAAATTTAATCAGTGCTTGACTCTATAAATCTCATCATTTATATTTTTTAAAAAAAAAATAAATATAAAAATCTCTCACCTTTTTAAATTTTCTTAGGGGAAAAGAAAATAATAATTGATATTGGAAAAAAAAATTTTCTTTTTAAAAAATCGTCTTATCGTTACACATAGATTAAAAATTATGTAATTAATTGTGTGTGGAGGCATGGTATTAATATTCTCCACAAAGAACTAAAATTAATTTATTTTGACTATCACATTATTGCATGAGGGTTTTTCAACAATAAAAGACCATAATCTAAAGGAATTTATGGTTTCTAATCTAAAAATATTGTAATAGTATATATAGTGATAGCGTTAGCTCAAAACTGCTTTTTTTCACATTATGGTCCTTTTCTATTGGAAAGCCTCCATGTTATTTGTAATTTATCTATTCATCCTCTTGAACTAAGAATCTATTTGATGAAATGTTCAAGGTAATGTGGGGAAATTAATCTTCACCGATGAGATAATTCAATTAAGTGGAACCTGGCCAGTGCTGAAATTGATGATATATCGAGATTTTCATAATATTAAATATATCTTTTAGCTAATTTTTATATTCTGATATTCTAAATAAAGTCCCAATTTAAATAATTAAAGTTTCAAATGCTGTTTCCAAAGTCTGCGAAAACTATTAACACATCAATTAATTTATAATTTTTACTTATAGCACATAAATATTAATACATAGATTACACTGTAAATGAACCATTAATGGTCGTAATTGTAATCGTCAAATCCCAAAATACCAATTTTACCGCTTAAATAACCAATTATTACTTGATTATCATCAATGTTTAGTGTCCTAACAACTTCTTTGTCTATATCAATTGTATCTTGCGATTTAGGATACTCGATTGATTTTGATTTTGATTGTAATGTTAATGAAAATGGTGTTAATGGTGATGATGTTGATGGTTTTGTTGTGTCCAATAAAAATATTCCCAAGGAACTGGCCGATGTTGTTCTACTATACTCGCACACCATTAATCCTTTACGTGAATTAAAATCAAACACTCTTGCTATCTTTGACAAATTTCTTAATAAATATATTGCATTGTTATCGGTGGTGGTATTAGTATCATTGTTATTGTTATTGTCGTCACTATTACTACTACCACCACCATTCTCGCTACCATTCCTACTGCTGCTAACATCACCACCACCACCACCATTATTACTATAATTACTACTACTACTATAATTATTGTTATTGTAATTGGATGTAAATGTTTCGAAATCTTTTGATTGTATATTTTTCATATAAATATTATTTAGAATATAAGTCCAACCTAGAAACCCATCTTCAAACAACATAGAATAGACGCAATTCCCATCTGGAAGCTTAAACATCTTGATATTGATGCTAGTTAAACATAATATCATATTATCATCCATTATCATCACTGACATTGCCTATAAATATATACAAATATGTAAATATAAATATTCATATATGCATTTATATTAATGCATACACCCACACTCTCATATATACATACATCAGCTGGTATGGTTATAATCTTGTCACCAGTTCGCCAATTCCACACTATTAAACTACCATCAAATGCACAAGATGCAACATAATTTTTTGATATACTTATACACCTAACCGCTGTAACATGTCCTCTTAATTCCCTTAATAATTCCCCTGTCTCCATATTCCATACGAATGAGGATCTGCTACGAGAGTTTTTGTAAGGGAGAGAGATTGGACGATTATGTAATTCACAAAATAAATAAATAAAACAAATAACCTGAAGAATGTAGAAGCTGCCAAGATTTTCTCATCTAGCAAGAAATCAACCGAACTAAATGAATTTCCTGACAAAGCATTAATACATTCACCTGTCTCAACATTCCAAATTCTAACGGTTCTATCAGCTGACCCTGTAACCAAAATATTTTCTTTTAATTTAGCATCGTTGATACGTTCTCTGTGTCCCTTCAACAATCTAAATGATTTGGCACGTCCATTCCTCAAATTATTTTCAATTCTATACAACTGTTGATAAACTTTTTCCCAACCATATTTCTCCAGCAATTTTCCCTTGCTAACGTACAATCGTCGCTCATCTCCATAATACATCTCTATACATTTCTTTTTCCATATACTCGAATCCTGTGTGACACTCCTCCATTTTTTACTAACTTCACCACATGCACATAGATCCTTTGCTGTGAGTTGCTCAAAAATTTTTATGGATATTTCAATCGGTAAAGCTCCAATAAGATCAAATCCTCCATATCCTTTGTCAAATAGTGCTTGCTGTAAAACAAATATATCATATGAACTACATTCTTCTATTAAACACTGTAAACTATATATAAATTATATTTTATTTATTTATTTATTTATGATATAGTAATTATATAAAATATACAAACTTACTAATTTTTACGTTTTGGTCTATCAAGTTCTACAAATTTTGACAATGCTACTTTAATTTCATCAGACATATCAGACAGCCCATCAATTATTTTATATATTGAGAAATTGATTGTATAATAAATATTGAAGATCTTTCCTGTTTTGAAAGAGATGGAGGGGGTTTTTAAAATAAAAAGTAAATAATAAATATTTATATATTGATATTAATATATAAATAATAATAATAAAGTACAGGATGAAAAATTCCGAACTTTTTATTTTTTATAAAAATTTTAAACAAAATGGGACAAGCACAATCAACCACCGCTGCCAACAAGCTTCGTTGTATTCAAGAGATCGAAGAAAAAAATAATAAATTTATTGAAAGAAATTATTTGGATAATGATAATAAAGAATATGAAGGTGAAAGTTCTAAACCTTCAATTGATAGAGATCTCCTTGATAAATTTTCGTAAGTTTTATATAAAACAACATGTAATAAAATGCGAAATCGAATAATTTATTGAAAAAATTTATAATGAATTTTTAGTAATAAATTCCTAGCTGAACCGAAAAATAAATTGGCCATGAATTCTATTTCTCGTGACGATATGGCTGAAGTTTTGACAAATCGAAAAGTAATGATAAAACTTACGAGACTTCTAGACTATATGTTTTTATCTTTATTTAATTAAATATATCATAAATAACTTTTTTTAAATTTAGGCTACAATTGATAATATTCATGCCTTCTCAGATAAAATTGAATTGGAAGGTAAAGCCACCAATCAAAAATCTTCGGGACGTTGCTGGTTGTTTGCTGCTACCAACGTTTTGCGCTTAATTCTTATGAAGAAGTAGGTTTCTAGAAAAATCTCCCCTAATCATAATAATATGTTTAATAATAATATATTTTTAATATTTATATTCCAGATATAAATTGGAGGAGTTTGAACTGTCACAATCATATTTATTTTTTTATGACAAGTTTGAAAAGGCTAATTGTAAGTGTGATATTTGTTACAAGTATACTTTCTTCCAGTATATTTGTGTGTTAGTAATGACTTGATAATTTATATTTTTAGATTTCCTTGAGAATATTATCTCCCTTGCAGGTGAAGATGTTGATTCGAGATTAGTTCAGTATCTGATTCAAGACCCTGTTAGTGATGGTGGACAATGGGATATGATTATTAATCTTTTGGAAAAATACGGTGTTGTGCCAAAATCTGTAAGTTAATAATAATAATAATAATAATAATAATAATAATCATACTATTAATTATAGTGGTAGTAATTTTAATTGTTAATATTAATATCTCCCTTTCTCTTTCTCTTTCATATATGTTATGTATATTATTAGGTTTTTCCAGAAAGTTTTAGTTCATCATCATCTTCACATTTAAATTGGTTAGTTACAACTAAATTAAGAGAATTTGCATATAAATTACGCGGATTGCATGAAGCTGGTAACTCTGAGGTGCAATTAAGAAAAGCAAAAATTGGTATGATGGAAGAAATTTACAGAATTATGGCCATCTCACTCGGTGAACCTCCCAAAGATTTTACCTGGTCTTTTCATGATAAATATGGTAAATTTTATGAATATAAAAATTTGACACCTCAGAAATTTTACAAAGAATTTATTGGATATAAGGTAAATTATAAAGATCATAAAAAAAATTTATCAGAGTAAAAAATTTGGTTACTCACACGCAATGTGGTTTTGTTTTCCTAGGCAACAGAATCATTTTCGTTAATAAATGACCCACGTAATGCATATTATGAACTTTATACAATCGACTATTTGGGTAATATTCAATCAGGATCATCAATTAAATATGTTAATATCCCAGTTGATTTAATGAAAAGTTTAACAATAAAAACTTTGAAAAAAGGAAAACCTGTTTGGTTTGGTTCAGATGTTGGTAAATTTAGTAATAGTACATTGGGTATTTTGGATAACAATATAATTGATTATGAATTGGGATTTGATGTAAAGTTTGAAATGAGCAAAGGTGACAGATTAAAATATGGTCAAAGTGCTATGACACACGCTATGGTATTCACTGGTACGTATAATTTATAAATGTACATAAGATATATATATGTATTATGTTGCATTTTAATTAATCAAATTGTGATAATATATATAATACAGGGGTTCATTTAGAAAACAACAAACCAGTGAGATGGAGAGTAGAAAATTCATGGGGCAGTGAAAGAGGCGATAAAGGTTATTTTGTCATGTCAGATGATTGGTTTAGTGAATGGGTTTATCAAATTGTCTTGGAAAAGTTAGATGCTACTAAAGAATTGGTTGATATTTTGAGTAAAAAACCCATCGTGTTGCCTGCTTGGGATCCAATGGGTTCTCTTGCAATCTAAAGAGACACACATATTTATTCACATTTATTCATATTAATATACTATTATTATTATTATTATTATTATTATTATTGTCATTGTCATTATCATGATCATGATCATTATTCTTTGTTTTTTAATTTTTTTTCTTGAATTATCATAATAATAATAAAGTAAAATTTAACAGTCAATGAATGGACATTGCATATGTAACACTGTAAAATTCATCAATACCCCATCTTTAAAAAGTAAACAACCTCCATGTATTAAACAAACAATGTAAAGTTATTTCAAACGAAGATAGCTTATTTTAGAAAGGTTTAAGGTATTGTTTTCATTGACACCCATCTCAAAGATTTTTTTTTAAGAATAGTAATAGTGTTATTATATTATTATGTTAAATGTATGTTATAACACTTTCGGTCTCAAAATAGTATATTGGAGTATATATGCTAATTGATAATTCTTGAAAATGCAACTAACTTGGAAACTAATCGAGCTTTTTCAATGACTATTTTCTAGAACATGATGAGATGGTAGTGCTAAAATAATGTATTTAATGAATTTCATTTCAGGTGTTGCTAAATAGCATCCAAATGTTTAGTACTCTCAATTTAATATGTATTCATTCATACGTATATTAATATATGTTAAATCAGACAAGGCTCGGTTTTCGATTTGAATATATTGTTTCAAAGCCGATCCATCCAAACTTTCAGTTCGGAGCTTTAGATTAGGCTTTAAAATTATCGATCTATTCCTCAGGAATTAAAATTATTTGCCAGCAAATATAATACATGTACCGATTTATTTTACGATTCTAATAGTAGTTTTTTTTATCTCTGAAAGTTCAGTGCTTGTTCGTTACGATTTTTTGAATCATTTTTATTATTAGGATTAGAAAAAATAATATCTCCCAAAAAATATTTGAAGTTCTTTTAACGTAAATAATAATAAATAAATATTTTTTTTTGATAAATAAATCAATACTTTCCTTTTTCTTAAAAGTGATGAAATTCTTCAACGAGTGATGAAATAAATTAATTGAAAACGCATAAAATCATCTTGAAGAGTTAAAGAACATATTAAAAGATATTGTGCCTTTAGTTGGATTTCGGGATGCCTCTAATTTTATAGACAAAATTAAGTCATAGGAGTTTTTATGGAGGAATATTTGAATCATAATTCTCACGAATTAACTTAAATTTATTATGAAAATGTTACTTTATTTTTTTCGCAAGTTGGACAGATAGATCATCTACTTTATTGAGAGACTTTTATGTCAGATGTAACTGATAAAAAGTAGTATTGAAAAAGGATTTTAAAAAGTGCTTTAATTTGGTTTAGTTGGAGTTGTAGGTGAAACTGATATTTGCATTATTTAAAAGGTAGTATATCATTCACGTGACCAAATTTTTCTAATTCATTTATTTTTTTAAATTCTGATTCAATACTTTTGATTAGTTCAAAAGATTGTATTTTATTAAAAAAAAAATTAAAATTGAACATTTTATACAAGAATCTAATACAGCAATAATAGTTTTTCATCAAAACATTGTTCCAATTTATAAAGTATTAAATTATCCACTGTAGTGATACTGTTGCTTTCACTCATGTCCAGAGTGCAAAGCGCGTTTCTCCAATTATGGGAAATTAGATGATAAAGTAATAATGTTTCCTGATGCAAATATTAATTATTGTTAAATAGTTTGTTACTATCAACAACGTATTAGTATATTAATAATCAACACTTACATTTATTAAACCAATCATTAATATATTTGGATGTTGAGCTGTTAACATATTTGCTTGTGTTTAAATAAGAAGATTCAACTGATCACCTTGATCTCTACATCAAATATCTATCTATTTAAAAACCCTAATAGAATTACGAACCTTCTTCATAAAATTATGTACTTTAGTGATTGTCTCATCATGAACTTGCTATCTATGTTGTCGTTTATTTGTAAATTATTTGACTTTTAATAATATTCTTACGACTAAGGGCGCAGGCAGACATATTGTAGACAGAACACAACTCGTAGTTACGACAGGGCTGTATGATTTGATGGTTGTCATAACTGTTTATCATTTCTTTTTTAAGGACAACCCAAATTAGGTAAATCTGAGCATCAACCATTTTTATTACAAACATATGAACACTTGAGGGTTACAACACTTAATATGGCACACAAAGTTTTCTTTACAAGTTTCATCAAAATTTAAGTTGGTTAACTTATTTTTATCATTGGGATGTCTGATTCTGTTGTGATTTTTTAAAGTTCCAGTCAATTTTTTTCCAATTCCATTATATGTAAATACAAATACAGGCATTTCTGAAATTCATTATTTCTTATAAAGTACTCTCACCTATCTCAGATTTAGTTCTAATGTTTTGAAGTTGAAGTTTAATGGATTATTATTATTATTATTGGTATTATTATGAATGATTATTGGTAAATTTAACAGAGTAGGATAATTATTATTCACTAATTGTACTTGGCATTCTAAAAAAAATAAAATAAAAAAAGGATAATAAAAAAAATAATGTATTAGTAACCTTTTACTAGGATCCGGGGCACGCTAACTATAAAATAGTCATATTTATACCCAATCAAAATAAAGGATGAAGTTTTGGTACAGTCAGACTCCTATATAATCACAACGTCGGGAATGCAAATTGTTGGTGATTATAACTGAATGTGACTATATAGGATTTCTCCCATATAATCACTTACTATGTAATTTTAAAAAATTAGGTGATTATAATAAATCTTTTATTTTATTTAACATCCCAAGTAGATAGATATATGTATAAAAAAAATAATAATTATTATATAAAAAAAACAACAACAATGGTTAGGCCACTTGCACTGACTTGTCCAATCCATATGTTCATTGCTTTTTCTAGTTCAGGAAACCTCACTTGTCTACAGCAAAAAGCATTATGATGAGTTGTAGATGAAGTAAGGTTGCTTGCTGAAACTCATCCAGAAATCAATCAGCAGGGTTTTGACAGGTTACACATTAATTGTTTATTAGAGTTTTGGCAGAGTTTTGCATTTTGAGGTTTCGCCATTTCAGCATAGTTTCAACAGTATTTTTGATAAGATTTAATATAGTTTTGCCGTGGTTTCAGCAATTACTAAGGAGGTTTCACCCACAACCTTAAGATGAATCATTTAGCCATTTTTTTTTATCATGTAAAATTTTTGTTACTGATGACCTATAAATATTCAATGATGAGTTTTCTGAATGTTTTCTTGGTAATATATACAAATTTCTCTTTTTCAATTGCTCACTAATACTGTACATTTTTGTTTTTTTTTTGGTTGAGACATAATAATGATAATGATAGTAATGATAATAACAACAATAATGGTAATGGTAATGGTAATTACAATGTCCAATGGTAACAATTTATTAATTTTCAATTAGCCAATAATATTTACACAGTCACATGAATTGGTGATTATATATGATGAAATTTATATGTTGTAATATCTTATGGAGCTGTCAAATATTGGTGATAGTGATTACAATATGAAAGTGACTATATATGATTAATTTTAATATAAAAAAAATCGGGAATAAAAAACATGTGACTATATAGGAGTTGTGACTATATTGGATGTGACTATATAGGAGTCTGACTGTAATGTAGATTTACACCAATTATGATTGATTAGGTTGGTAATCTGTTTAATTTTAAAAGATGCATAAAAAAATAAATGATTTAAATTTTATTTAAAAAATTATCCTTAATCTAATAAAAAGCAATTATGATTTATGTTGCTAAAAGAACTAAAAAGAAAAAAACATGTAGACAAATAAGTTTCATTGCATTTTATTTTCCTTCTTCTAAAGATTTCTGCTTTTTGTTGGGTAATAACACACATTCATTCTGCTTCCTTAATGTTTATTTTTTTCTTTCTTCTTGGTAAATTTCATGGGTGATTTTCTCTTCCTTAGATAAGCTTCTAGTATTCAAGTATCATTTATTTTGAAAATATAGGGAGCAATTTTTTCAGCTTACTATATTCCCTTTTCAAAATACTTCTATTAATGCTGTAAATCTTGAGCTCCATGGTTAGATTTGATGTAAACGAGTTTCATATTAATTATTTTTTTATAGAAGTAATTCTATATACTGCAAGATTGTAATCTCATATGTTGTCTGATAATATTTATTTATTTATATTTATTTTTTTTTTATGCTTACTTTTCCATAAGACTTTTGGTTTTGGTTTTTATGCTCGCTTCTATGCAAGTCTTGGTTTTTTGCTTGCCTCTTGTTCTTATTTTATATTGCAAACGGCGAAAATACAAATACTTTGAGCAAAACAAATATATATATTTTTTCAAGTCTACATACATCTGCATATCATTTGTAGTCATGAGAGAAATGAAATTTCAAATTTCTCCATCTTCTTGCACTTTTTGTAAGACTTCCACCTAGTATTTCCCCCATGTCTAGTAGGATTTCCACTTATCTTCACAGTTATGGATGTCCGTCGAAACTATGTCAAGCTATCGAAACACTTTCGGTTCAAAAACCAAAAGTCAAAACCTCAACCGAAAACATACTGTATATTAATTTAGTACGATTTTTTTTTAAACAAATAGATATGTATATAATAATCTAAGAAAATTTACTTTATTTTTTATTGAATCTTACTATTTAATTTCCGACCACAAAAATGTTTTATTAAACAAAAAATTTAATTCTATATTAACTTTTCTGCCTCTACTGTTAGGATTATTAATATAGAATTATTTAATTACCGGTTAATTAGTTTGTTAGTTCCCAAAAAATTTAACCGCTTGGTCAAAAATGGTATTATTTATCATTTCTTTTGAAAATGCGAATATTATTAAAAATTACAACAAAAAGACTAGGTCACATGTCCGACATACGATTGGATGACACTTTGATAAACCCGTTTTATTTACCACAGTATTGCTGTTAAAAAAAAAAGGACATGTATTATATAAAGATTATCATCCTTCTCATTGTAAAATTGATTTAATATCCTATATTACATGTTGAGTTTTTTTTACCTCTTCAGTTTAATCTTTTTTCTGATGGTTTCATTGATGTTTACATCCTCCTTTGTTATTATATTATTTTAATTGCGGTAATTTTGCATTTCATGGTAAACCGCGCGGTTTATTAACATCAAATGGGTTAGCTTTAGAACAATTTCAATTTTTTAATCAAGATAATGTAAAAAAAATTAATAAAAAATTTAGTGGTTTTTTTAGAAAAAAATTACTGTTTTCCACATATGGTATATTAGAATTCATATTTTTTTGGGATGACATATTTTAATCCATAATCTTCTAAAAAAAAGTGGGTAGAAAAAAGGCGATTTACTATTACAAAACTCAAATGTAAAGATTGCCATACATAATAATAATGAGATTAATGGCATTAATGACATTTAATTAGATTTATTGATCTACATACCCAGTATCACATGCAATCATACTACAATTCTCAGGTATCACATAATTTACGCGTCAAATCCGCCCATACGCTAGAATCGGTTTCCATATTTGGAAGACCGTTATTAAAACATCCGAATAATTTATATCAATTTTTTCAAGTATATAAAGCTTAATTAATGTATAGTTTTTTTTTTTCAAAATAAATCTCGCAACATACAATAATCCGAATTGATATTTTAAAGGTAAAAAAAAGTTTGACTTTAATGTAATATATAATTTTTTTTAAAAAAATTAGCATCCACAAATCAATAAAAAATGTATTCCAAATTCTTATAAAAAAGGCAGGCAATCAATCAACAAAAATCCAACTTTACGATCTTTAATCCGACAAAAAAAATTTTTTTTAATCCAAGATGACATATTTATTCGATATCCCTGCCTATTTCATTCTTTTACGAGAAACTCTTGAGGTCACGATAATTCTTGCCGTACTGCTTGGGTTCATTGATATACTTGTCCCAGAAAAGGATGCAGCAATAAAAAAAACTTTTAAACGTCAAATTTGGATCGGTGCAGCTGCTGGCTTGGCTCTTTCTATTGTAATTGGTAGTGTTTTTATAGCTGTTTTTTATACTGTTGCAAAAAATTTATGGGAAGAAAACGAACCAGCATGGGGTTAGTAAAGTTCATACACACTGTAATTCATATACAGCCAAACCTTGCTATAGTGAATCTTGTCACAACAGATCGGATTGTGATTAAATTCGCGTTATATCAGTTTGAAAAAATTTGCTTCACATATAAAAACATATAAAACCCGTTATGACGAGATTTGTAATTTTGGCATAATGGATTTTAAATTATTATTATTATGTGTCCTGTGCATCTGTTGTGATGAGGTTTATTAGTTTTAATCATCATTAGTTGTATTTTGTATTTATTTACATACGTTATATATATTTATATGTATATATAGAGGGTTCGTTTGCTCTTATTGCTTCTGTTGTGATTACTATCATGGCTTTAGGTATGACCAGAGTTCAGCAATGGAGAAAAAAATGGGAAAGAAAACTTGAAAAAGCAACTGAAAGTTACTTGGAAAAGCATAAAACTGGCAATAAATGGGCTTTGATTTTGTTACCATTCACTGTTGTATGTCGTGAAGCTGTTGAAACCTTTGTATTCATAGGAGGTGTAAGTAATTATTATTATTATTATTATTGCCATCAAATTAATCAATCACGTCATGTTCAAGCAATCATTCATCTCAAAAATAGATTGGATTCAATAAACCTGCATCAGGACTACCAATTCCAGTAATTCTTGGACTTTTGTCAGGGTTTGTTATTGGGTGGATCATTTACAAAGGAGCTCACAAAGTATCAATAAATATATTTTTTACAGCTACTACAGTATTTCTTCTTTTTGTGGCAGCTGGAATGTTTTCAACTTCAGTCCATAAATTTCAACAAGCAACTGGATCACATGAAACAGTGTTATGGCATACAACATGTTGTGATACAAATAATGCATTCTGGTCAATTATGCAAGCAATATTTGGATGGCGTGAAAAAGCAACACTTGGTACAACAATTGGTTATTTCAGCTATTGGGCATGCGTGATTGTTGCGGTTACGTCAATTTTTTATTTTGGCAAGAAAAGTGACGAAGAATTGGAGGAGGATAAGATCGTAAAGTCTAAATTTGAGGTTGCAGATAGAACTGATAATGTTTAAATATTCATCTTATTACTATCCTTAAAAAAAATTTTTTTTTTGTCATGTAAAAAAGCTGTTTTTTTTTAATTTGTAAGCATGCAATTGCTATTAATATTTAAGCCATTAATTATGATTGTATTATTAACTAGCCATAATGTAGGAATAAATCTTTATTTCATGAAAAACTATAAAGGACCCACCCTCGAAGTATACTTGCCGTAGGAATGGCTAGACAGAAACAATGCGGTTACTGCATGCGCTGTATTCTGGTCCGTAAATGCCGTAAAACTGTAATAATAATGCCGTAATTATTATTATAGACACATTACCATGGCAAAAGTATTGGACATCTTAAATTCATCAATTACCTAAAAACGTAGATAGCTCAAGTGGTTGGTTATGTATACAAAATTTCTTATCGATTGTCTTTGAAAAAAAAAACAATAAAGGATAATTAAATTTTTTTTAAATCTAGAAACAGAGAAATTTATATATACTTTTGGGTAATTAATGAACAAATTTAGGATGTCCGATACTTTTGCTACGGTGCTGTATATATAGCTGCAAAGGTCATAATAATAATGCCATAACAGATTATACCGTAAACAGTTTTCTTGTATTCTTTCTTCCCAAAAATTAAATAATTAAATAGTAATAAAAGCTTACAAAAGTATTTTTAGAATTAATATTACACATAATTATAATATTACATGATGATAATAATATTGCCAAAAATCTTTCTTTGACAAATAAAAAAACTGCTATTTATATTATTAATGGTTTTTTAAGTAGTATATACACTCACTAGACAAAAGTCGGGCGCATTTTTAAACAAAAATTGCGC